GTCTATACATCCACTTGTCCAAATACATACCATTCTCCTTCATAAAATCAATAACCTCCATCATCCTTTGAAAATAACCACCTCGAAGAAAATTCAACAGCAAGAACTCGTATAAATCCCTGGTATTCAGCTTATTACGACTGTCCATGATCCTTTTAATATCTCCCCATAAGATTGTAATTTCACGATACATACCTAAAGAAGAATACCCATTAAGTAGATTCATGAAAGTTGACTCTGTAGGATGGATCTTCATTGCCTGCATTTTTCGGTAAGCCCTTATGGCGTCTTCGACCATGTGAGCCTTCATAAAGAAGTAGATAGAAGAATTTAATTCATGCATCATAAAAGAAGCCTCGTTTTCTTCTCCCCTCATTTCTTCAACAATATGGTAAGCCAACTCCCCTTTAGCCATGGAGCCTAATTCTTTCAACTTTGCGATGTTTTTATCTTCCAGTTTACACATAGATGCAGGAGTTAACAACGGATCAGATGCATTTATGACAACACCTGATTTTCTTAATTGCTTTAGTAGTGCCTCTGCCTCCCTTAGCTTATTTTTACTGCGATATGCAGTCAACAGAGACATGTATGAACTAGTGCCTAGCCGACTTCCTTCAGAATCCAAATCATCCAAAATATCATGAGCAGTTTCGAGCCACTCCATGCAAATGCAAGCAGCAACCACATCAGAGCACATTCTGCTGGATTCAAATAAGCCTTTCCTCTGGATATTGCAGAGAAGCTTTGACAGCTCATTAATTCTCCCATCCCTCTTGTACCGTACGATAAGCCTGGCCAACGCTTTGTTGCTAAGGATAAGTTTCCCATTCTTATACATAACAAACGCCTGATTATGTCCCACATTGAAAACAGACTCCCTTGATAATGAATGAGGAAAAATTCGTAGTTTGAATCCCATCCTTAGATTATCGGAGCCGATAGAAACAAGGCACGGTTTAGGTGGTTGTGCCTCATCTCCATGCATGTGATGAGACTCTTGAAATCTATAAATATCCAGTACAAGATCAGAAGCAGCATCTATATCATTAAACTTGAAATGCAAACTCAGGAGATTTTCATAGAATTGCCGATAGTGGGGGACCAATGTTGCTGAAACCTGATCTATATGCTCCTTAAATTTCTTCAATTCGTCTCGCATACCATTCATCTCATGAATCAAAGAAATAACTGAAATAGTATGAGCATCAGCTGCCACTCCAACTTGAGCCATTAACTCAATAATCTGATGGCCTTTACTGGATGATCCAAATCTTGCACAAGCATCAAGAACAAGATTAAAAACAAGTGTATCATTCTTATTAATCTCTAAGTAAGCTGACTTCTTTGTGGTTAATTGTTGAGAGCTACCATAAATCTCGATCAAAATATTCGATGACAGAATCATTCCACCCTCGGTCTTCACCATGTGAAATATTATCATCCCTAGCATGTCAATTGGTGGGAGAATTCTTTTATCCAACATCAGCCTGAGAATTGATGATGCTCGAATGGGCATTTGAGCTCTAGCCAACGATAGGCAGAGCTTGGTCATTAACTCTGTACGTAGTAACTCCCTTTTCTCTTTCAAAATAGAATCTACCATATTGTATGCCTTTCGGAGCCACCTAGAATCAGATGAGTACGACAACTCAGTGAGCAGCCTACCTACAAGAGAGGGGTCAGGAAAACCATAAAGACGTTTAAAATCCTTATAGGTTTCCCAAGCCTCCTCCAAGTTGTGATTCTTCAATGCACTTTCAAGCTTTCCCAGCAAAACAATGTCAGATGACACACCCCAAGATAACGTCTCTGGCTCTCTACTTGAACAGAACTGCCGAGGAAACAGCTCACCTCTAGGTTTAGAGTTTTCATATGAAATCGAGGACTTTGTTCTCGAGAAGACAGTACACCTTCTGTTGCAGGTCAATCTACAGGCATTTGAAGCCACATCAACAAAGGAAGAGTAGCTTTTCCTGAAAATGGAGCAAACTGCAATAGCTTTTCTCAAGGGGCATGCCATGAAGGAACACCATCCAGAAAATCACGAATAAAAGAATTATGACATCGTATCCTGGAAATATACCGATCAAAATAGACCACTCTATACCACAATCTGCACAGGCAAACCCAGAAATACCAATAAATAAGGAATAGAGTGTGATAGCCACAAACCTACATTTGCCACTAAAGTATACAACAGAAACCAGAAACTACTCCAATTGCATGATTCTATCCAATTAATAAATAAAGAATCATGTTCAAACTTCAAAGTAGCAGTGATCGCAGCTAGTGCAACGATTTCAACATTAAACTCATCCATTTGACCTTACATACATTTGAAACATGTGCGACCAAAAAAAATAATCCACAGAGAAGCGTGCAAAGAACTATGTTTTTAACTACTGCAACTCATTCTTAATTTAATTTAAGATATTTTGGCTTAGTAATAATCTAGTTTTCTAACTAACTGCTAGTACAACAGCAACTAAACCTCGGTCAGAAACAAGTAGCGGACAGCTATATAGAACCCACTAATTTCTAACATAACCAAACAAAATCGAAGTTTCCTTGCATACTAACCTTTAACTCAAAAACTGTAGTGATGGAAGTTGGATTTTATGGATATTAATATAACAAGTTTCTCTGACAAACAAACCTTAGATATATGAACTGAGTAGAATTTTTAAGGTATTTAATATTAATTGATTTGAGATGATTGGAAATTGAAATTGGTAGTCCATAAGAATAGAGGAACACATTTGCAAGCTCACAACATTATAACAAGTGCTGAAAATGCTATAGGAGAGGTTTTCAGAAAATAATGAGAAATTCAGAGAGAATAATTACACAGTGCATTGCAGCACAGTTCACAATTAGTATTTCAGCTTAAAAATCGATTTCGAAAAGGGATTAGGGTTTATATCTACCGAAAAGAGAGTGCGACAAGGAAACTAACAACTCAAGTTCGCCGGAGAATGTTCGAACGCAGGTCGCCGGAGAAACAGCGGTTATTCGAAATGTGTTTCGGGTCTCCGTTTATTGTGTTTTTCTACTTCGCCGGCCAAAATTTGGACGAATTGCACAAATAGCCCTTTTTAGGATTACTATTCAAGAAATACCTGAAATTTAGTAAGTTTCTATATTTTATCCGCCTTAAAATTAAATTTCAAACCATTATATTAGAAATTTCAACGCAACAAGCTTAAATTCGTTGGTCTTTGGCAAAGTCTAACTTAAACTAAAAAATCTCAAGTTTTGAGGTTGACAGAAATCAATATGTTTTAAATAGAAGTACTAAAAGCGGCTCTTAGTGCCATTTCAATTTGAACTTTCATACAAATAGGCTGAAATGATTTTTCATCCCTTTTTTACTTTTAATTTTTTAGTTGGAAAACTATCCAGTATGACATAACCTAGTTCTACATTCTATAAGGAGCACCACCTTAAAATTTATATGAAATCTTGTTTAATTTTTAAACTTTATTTCCTGATTAATTAAAGGAAAGAGTAGACAAACTAGAAGATGAATTGTTTTCTTATGATGGAGAAAGCAAGCTACAGTATTTTGACCACAGTTAGGGCGGATCTATATAGGGGCAGCTCGATATATTTTGTGGCCTAAAGTCAAATATTAATATGAGGTCTTCTTTTATAATTTCTATCTTAATTCAATATTTTTTTAAATAAATAAAAAAAAAAGAAGAATTAACTCAAATAGTCACCAACCTAATCTCTTAAACTAAAACTAGCTGGCGGACATATATAAAATTTATATATAAATATATGTATAATTATGTATAGTTAATGTATAATCTATTTACATCGGCAAGAAAAAGTCCTTCAATTAGTAACTATTATTAAAAAATGAGGCCCTCAAAAATTGGAGGCCTAAAGCACTTGCCTCAGTGGCTTGTGCATTAGAGCCGGCCCTGGATCTATATAGAGCAGAAAGGGTGATATGCCACTTGCACGCTCGAATAAAAATTTCAGGAATACAATACTATACGCTCGATTTTTTTTTCAAAGTATACAATACTATCTTGATGAAAAACGACATATATATTGTTTGACTCAAAAGATATTAAAACCTTTTTGAACAAATCAATCAATGATGAAGGGGTAAATCGTAGTCAAACTTAATTGATACCAGTTCGAAAGATTGAGTAATAATGATTGAACATAGACGAAAGGAATGTCATTGATCTTATTAAGATTATACACTGCCTATTTCATCCGTAGATGGGGAAGAAAGATTACAATTGTTTTTCCCTTTCGGGATACAAGAATGGAGCTTTTTCCTACTCTTTCTTCTATGAGAAAGTCTTCTTCCACCCCCCCTTTCGTAAGCTTACCTGAGCTTATATATATAGTCGAAACCCTTTTAATCCTGCCGTGACTTGGCGTGTCTGGGTCAGTGGAGATTTCTGGTCGTGGCTAGGCATTACTCTCTTCAATGTGTCAGATGTCTTAGAGGAGAAATGAAGTTAACTCTATTGACTTCTACTGCCCGGTTGCAAATTATGGGGTCGTGGTCAACCTGGTCGAGGTGGTCAGATTTTGACCAATACAGTTAGTCCCTCCGTTCGACGGGGTCGTCCTTTGTCGGGCTCGACGGACGAAACACGTTTGCAACGTGGTCGAGAGGAATCTGACCCCTCATTCTATTCCTTAGTCGCGCTCTGCGCATTTTTGGTGGTGTAGGGGTGCTTTTTCGGTACTCATGTACCGTTACGATGGTTTCAGAATCGAAACGCCGATTGGCAAATGAAGCGTTACTTCGTGCACGCCATCATTATAACACATGTTTCTGAGGAACTGAAAAGTTTCGTATCCCATCGGATTCAAATGGCGACTCTTGGGTTTCGTGGTCGGGGAATTTGTGTCTCTTATAAATAGGGAAACTTTGTCATTTGCTTCATACGCTTCATCATTTGTTTGAGAGAGTTCTCCAGATATCGCTTTTTTTGATACTTCAAGTTCTTGCTTACTTTCTTGCTCACTGCAACCCTTAATCGTTTCTTCGTATCACTTCTTTCGGAAAGTTTTTTGCTAAAAATGGCCGGCGATTCTTCCCGTGATAATATTCCTGCCGCTGATCCGATAACCGAGAGTCCCATTCAGGCCATCGGGGAAGTGGATGCGGTAGAGGATGAAGAGATTCCCTCGGTAGATAAATTCTGCCTCGCCTAGGGAAGGACGAGACCGACTTTAGTATCGGTGGTGGAACGGATCCGGAAGACATTGCCTCTGTTATAAGGGAGATGGGAATTGATTGAGGGAACGGTGGGGAATCCCTAGTTTTGTCGAGATACGGCCGGCGGAGAGGAACTACAGAGTTCAATTCGACCGTCCCGTATTTTGTGTGTTCTACGCCTAACCCTTCATTGTAGGGTACACCCTGCCCCTTCCCATGCTGGTGGTGGACTTCTGCCGCTACTATGAGATGTGCCCTGCTTAGCTTTCTCCTTATTTATACAAGTTGTTTCTCATGCTACTCAAATATGCGGAGCTTGCCGGTCGTGAGGTCACTCTGGACCATATACTTAGCCTTTTTGCTCCTCAATTAATTCGAGGTACGATGATTCACGCGCGTCCTCGGGGATCAAAGGTCTGGTGGTGAAGATGGATGATAGAACCAATCGTCGTTTCTACGAAAATTTCTTCTACATGCGGACCGAGCATATTGTGGCGGACCCGACGGGATTCCTCGAGAGATGGAATTTTGCACGTAAGTTTGCGTCTTTGACTAATAGAGTGTTTGATTATTGTTTTGTGGATACTAAACTGCTTTATTGTTATGTTGCTGAGAAATTCCCC